AAAAGTTGGGTTATTTTAGAGAGCGGAAACTCGAATGGATTTTTGTGAAAATTAAAGATATTTGAAGAATATTAGGCTCAAATAGGTAGTTTTATTTAGAAAAATCTTGATGTCACTTCTTTCTTGTCTCCATTTATTGATGACATGTAATGTACCAACATGTCAAATTTAATTCAAAAAAGTATTTTTCTTCTTCTCTTTTGAAGCTAAAGTTTATCAACTCAAATAAGCCTTTATATATATATATATATATATATATATATATATATATATATATATATATATATATATATATATCATAAAGAACTTATAAAAACATAAAATATAAGGCAAGACTTAGGCTTATGAACAAAATGGTATGAAAAGTTCAAAACATATTTGAGGGTATAAAGACTAAGGATTATTTAATCATTCATCAAGATTTCTTTAGACATGTCATCTTGACATTTCACTTTGATAATTAACCATATTTTTCATATCACTCAACACATAATGGCGATATTCTTAAGCGTGCCACTTTGACTTTGCCATTTTGATGGTTGATCTCTTTTTTTTTTTTTTTTTCTCAACTCTCCTTTCATGTTCACTTCTTTCATCTTTTGAATTTCAATATCTTTTCTTCAAATCTATAATATAGATCTTTTTAGTAACATTTTCTTTTATCTTTGTGTTACTTTTTTATTCTTTCATTTCTCTTTTTTTCCCTTTTATCTCATTTAACTCTTAGTGTCATTGCTAGGGTTTCTTCAACAAGTTCCTCATGACCATCATCATCTCTTTTCAATTTCTTTTCTAAAAGAACATCATTGATTGTTCATACACTTTCAAAATTACTCCCAACATGAGGGATGATCCTAGTTTGGGTTATCATTAAAAGAAATCCTAAGGTTGAAAGTTGGATAACAACGAATAAATTTTATCTCTAAAAATAGAATTTTTTCATCTCAAACATAATTTGCTTAGGGTGATATGCTCTAGCTTACTATGAAAGTAATGATTTATTTGGAGAAATAACCACATAGAAGAATCAATAAGTTAGATGGGATCATGATCCTATTGTGTACCACGTATCATCATTTAGAGCATCAAACCATTTAGTTTTCCATATTGGATATCAAATGCATTATCCTAGACAAAATTGTCTCCAAAAGGGTTTTTTCGAACAAAAAAGGATGCTTTTGGCTTCAAAAAGAGAAATTACCCCTAGCATTTGCATGACACGTTTTCAAAATTGATCAATTTTGAAAGATTTTGAAATGATTTACCATTATATTTCCTTCGATCTAGATGAGATAAAATATTAAATGATGCTTTCAAATAAAAATTTCTTGATTTGAAATCAATAATAAAAACATACAAAGAAAGTGGTTAGTGATACAAATCATCAATAGGTAATAGAAGCACAAATCTTTGTTAGCTTTGAATAGCTAATTTAAATCAACTTGGTAAACCGAAGGCACTCATAGATTTTATCGAATGACAGAGGCATCTCAATTTCTCATAAATGTTTTTCTTAAAGAGGACCGGAGGTCCTCATAGACTTAGCCTCTTCAAAACTATATCACGTTCTATCTTTTTGATCATTTCAATAAGGTCATCAAAATGATATGGGAGATAGTCTATCAACCACTCATAGTATAAAGATTTAAAAGTGCTAACAAAGATATACAAAAATTCTTGCACGGTAAAAAAAAAAAAAAAAAGACTCGAGCCACTCGTTATTCGACATCTTTTAGCATATCACCTCACGTGCTTATCGTCATCTTTTCTCGTACCTAGAATGTATGCCCTATTCGAGTGTTGTCTTGGCATTGATATTATGATCTTTTATCAAAACATTGATTTAGCTAAAATTGCATCGTAGTTGTCTTTTCTCACCATCATCTTTTCTTATGCCTCACGGATATTCCCTATTCAAAGTTGTCTTGGCACTTACATTGTGCTCCTTTATTAAAACACCGATCAATTTAAAGTTTCCTTCCTCTAGAATCAACCGCTTGAGGATCGGATCATATATATATATTTTCTTTTATCTCGTTATCAAATATTTTTTGAAAGTAGGAAATCCAATTTGACTCATTCACCTTAGCTACCTTTCTATTCTAGACTTTTTCATTGACATGGGGAAAGTCAATATTAATATTCACTTACATCAAGGAATAGAAAAAAGATGTCACATATGAACATGAATTAGTAAAAGTAGAAGATTTCTTATCGATAGTAACAAGACTTAGCCACATTAGGTAATAGTATGGATCCCTCTTAGATGAGTTAATGTCATTAGAAGAGAGCAAGCTTAAAAAAAAAGTTGTAGATAGCTTGATGTCAAGACAAAAAGGATTAAGCTCGCATGTTAAAAGCAACCATCCTACTAATTTTTCAATAATTAGACTTTCTTTCAACTATAGAGCTTTTGACATAAGAGTGTCTCCTTCTTTAAGAATAGTCGAATGCTCTAGGCCATCATGGCTAAAAGCTTTAGCCTTCTATCTTTTAATTTTGTATTTTTTTTATTTAATTCTCATATGGATTGAATTATTATTATTTGGATTTATTTGTATCGACATTGGCCCATGAGCGGGAATGCTATTCATGGGCAAACAAGGATTCATCACCTAGCTAATCAAAGAGAACTAAGAAATCCTAAATGTGCTAGTCTATATAGATATTTGAGTAAAGCATCGGTTATGTATGGAAAAGATATAACATCATCGTCATCCCGTCCTACTTAAGGTGGGTTGAATTGTTTGTATGTGAAAGTAAAAATCTATTTTTAATTATGTTATGCTTCTATACCTATTTAAATTATTTTATTTGGTTAAGGTGTGAAAATAGAGTAGTTTTGAGGTTTAGATGTACAATGTAACAGTTTGAGGGTTCGGACTAGTCTAAGGCCAATACCGCTTACTCAAAAGGGAAAGGTGAAGGAGTTGGAATTTTGAATAGTTTTTAGCGAATACAACCTATACCAACAAATAGGTGAGTTTCTAAAGATGGATAGTATTTTATTAACATGAGTAGTGAGTTACCAAAGACTTCACTCACATACGTGAGAAGTCACCGATAACTTCAAGTCATGAATTCGGAAAGTTACCAATAACTTTGTCATATAAGCGGAAAGTTAATAGCCAATTTATTTAGCTTAAGTAATGAGTAGATAACTGATTTACAAGCCACTAGCAACTTTATCACATAGATAGGAAGTCATCGATGACTTCATTTCAAATAAACGGACAATCAAGTAAAATAGTCTCGAAACCACTAGCAATTTTGCTTCAAAAAAATAAAAAACAGATAAAATGACTCCGAAATCACTAATGACTTTGTTACATAAGTAGGAAGCCACCGGTGACTCCATTTATAGTAATTCAAAATTAAATAAAATTGGTTCATGCGCCACTAGTGACTTTGTTTTGAACAAAAAAAAAAAAACAAGTGAAATAACTTTGAAGCCATTTGTGACTTCAACATATAAGTGGGAAGCCATTGGTGACTTCCTCCATAGTAATTCAAAATTAAATAAAATTGGTTCAAGAGCCACTAGCAACTTAATTTCAAACAAAATAGAAAATAGGCAAAATGCCTTTGAAGTTATTGATGACTTCGAAGCACGTAAGTAGGAAGCCATCGGTGACTTCATCCACAAGCAATTCAAAATTAAATAAAATTGGTTCGAAAGTCATTAGTGACTTCATTTTGAACAAATAAAAAACAAGTAAAATGACTTCAAATTCACTTATGACTTTGACACGAAGTGGGAAGACACTGAGGACTCCATACATAACATTTCAAAATCAAATAAAATTAGTTTGAGAGCCACGCATGACATTATTTTCAATAAACGAGAAAATAGATAAAATGACTTTGATACCACTAACAACTCTATTTATAGTAATTCAAAATCAAATAAAATTGATTCAAGAGACATTAACGATTTCATTCCGAACAAACAAAAAATAAGTAAAATGACTTCAAAGCCCCTAACAAATTCATCACATAAGCGGAAAGCCACTAGAGACTCTATCTAGAGCAATTCAAAATTAAATGAAATCGATTAGAGAGCTACTAGCAACTTCATTTTAAATAAATAGAAAATAGGTAAAATAACTTCGAAGCCACTAGCGAAGTGACTCTATCCATAGTAGTTCAAAATCAAATAAAATTGGTTCGAGAGTTATTAACAACTTCATTTTGAAAAACAAAAGGTAAAATGACTTCAAAGCCACTAGTGACTTTGTCACATAAGTGAGAAGCCATTAACGACTCCATTCACGATAATTCAAAATTAAATGAAATCAGCTTGAGAGCCACTAGTAACTTTATTTTGGACAAATAAAAAACAAGTAAAATGACTTCAAAGCCATTGATAACTTCGGCACATAAGTGTGAAGCTACCGACGACTTCATTTTAATATTGTAATCAAGTAGGAAAAGTCAATCAAATCACAAAATAGATACAAACTTTGCATTAAGAATGCAAATATAAAATAAAATAGTTTATTCATAATGACAATTATAGCAACATTCACTTTAAGTACCTTTAAACCATGGATATATAAATGAAATACAATAATTTCATTCACACTTTTAAGGAGTGTAGTCATTTTAAAGGTTTTAGCCAAAAATGTTATGTAGTTTAGGTGTTTTATTCATAGGTCAATTCTACTCTCTTCATCCTCGATAATAATTGATTATTCAATTAGCCGAGAAATAAGAGCAGCCTATCTATTGTCAAAACATTGTATAAGTCTTGTTAAAATGAATGAAAGTCTCTCCAAAGTTAGTATAAACAATCAAAGCTATTAACGTTACCAAAGTTGCTATAAATTTTACAACAAATTGGTAAACTTCCAATTTTCTTAAAAGTGGTCAATATTGCTATAATTTAAGAGGACTTAGTAAAAAAGTTGATGCAAGTATCTTAGCAAGGACAGTGGATGCCTCAATTGCTCTATGTTCCAATTCAATTTCCCTCTCCATAACTCGCCATTTTAGTAAAACTATGTGTTGTACGTTCTTCTTTCACTCTCTATTTTACAGAGGCCAAGTCCTCTCATAGAGCTTGCTTCATCCTTGTTTCTGTCATTTCTCAAAATAGACTTCATATTTGCCTTACTTCTTTTGATAGACCGTAAGCTACGACCTTTAGTAGCCTTTGAGCCTCATCGAGTTCATCATATATTGTTAAAGGAGAAACTTTGTTCCCTAATTTTTTTTAGATTGATAAGAGGTTCTACTTTAAGGTTGACACTTTTCAATATAGTTTCCTTATTTGTAGGAGAACTAATAGTTATTGATGGAGATTTCTCTTTATCGGTCTTTATAGGAATATCAACCTCTCTTGACTTGATATTTTGACCATCATCGATTAGATGATCTTCAATGACAACCTCAATCTCTTTCGCAGGTAATGAAGAAGGATGCTCTACAGGAACATCCAAATCCTTTTTATTAAGAAGCTTTCCATTTGAAGGTGATGTTGTAGAATTCACACTAGATGTAGTTATGTCATTTTTTGTATCTAGTTTCTCGGTGCTTGCTTGGGCAATGGGCTTTGTAGAAAGAGTCTCCTCATTTTCAACCATAAAAGTAGCCCTACTTTTACAAAGGCCTTCAAGCATATTGTACAAACCAAATCAAGTTTGAGACTTTTACTCAACATTTGATGATAAATTTCTAAGGCTAAATCAACTCTTTCATTCTTACATGACGGAATCTCACAAGTTCAATTATAGCTTAAGCTTCTTAATACTTTGGATTTTGATAGAGACAAGGTAAAGATGAAGATCACCTTGCTTTACTTCACTTATAGAATTCTATTTCGGACTCCATTATCTTTAAAGTGCCATTAGTTGATTCCCTCCTAGCCGGTACTCTATTAACGATAGCTACACCAGCTTCTAAAATAGTTGTGTCATCTTTCATAGGAGCATCCGATGAAGCCATTAGCTCGAAGAACTTGTTATGTTATTGGAACCTCTTCGGTACCTCTCTTTATTAGATTTCCTAGCCATTTTCACCTTCATATTAGGAAGGATGGCGTTGGTAAGCTTATGACTACCTTTTGTGGTTGTAAAGTAGTTTTTGACGGATCCGAATCCGTACTTTTAGAATTCTTGCCACATCCAATCGGTAAATTGATTAAGACCAAGAGTATAAGGTAAGCCTTTTTTATTGATGGATCTAATCAAATCTAAACTCTCCAAGAATATTACAAACCTTAATTTCATCTCCTCCTCTATCTCATATCTCTTTCCATGCATATAAGCAAAACAAACAAAGAAAACAACTTGATGAGATTAGCTTAAGACTTTAACAACAAAAGATTCAAAGTCATGGAGATGGTCGGATACGAGTCCGACTAGGTTGGATTCATCGAAACTTGATCCTACTATAATGCAGCATAGCAGAGAACAGTATTGATGAGAACCCTAAAATTGTTATGCGATCCATCATTTTCTTATTATGTATGGATGGTCAATGAGTGGATATTGGAAGGAGGTAAGAGTGTCATGTGTTGGTGGTTGGTGAAGGAAAAAGGCGTTTAGATGGTGGTTTAAAGGGTTGGTGGTCGTTGAAAGTAGGGGAGGAAGAAGATGAAGGGTGGCTACCTTTTCCTCCCCATTTTTTATTATTGTAGCTCGAATATTGGGTCGAAGATGAAAGGTTGTGGCTCCCGGTTTTTTATTTAGGGTGGTAAGTTGAATGAGGGAGAGAAGGTTATTGCAACATGGAGAGGCTCGCTAGAGAAGAATAAGAGGTAAGCTTGTGGGTAGAATAAGGAGGTGGCCGGTCGGTGTGGATGCTTTGGATGAGGAAGAGGATGGAGTGGGGTGGCAATTAGGCGAGGGAGATGAGGCTATTACGACGTGGGAGGAGGTCGACGTATGGGAGTTTTGGGTGGAGTTTTTAGCTATAACAAGAGAAGAGTAGGCTAGATGCTAAAGAATGAATGAATAATCCTCTACCATAAAATGCAAAAGGAGACTTTTATTGGTTTTTTGAGGTTTTTTGGTAAAAGTCCAATTTGGTCTTTGATTACTTCTAATCTCTCAATTTAAGTCCGATTTTGTTTGTTTGTTTGTTTGTTTTAATGGGCCTTTTAAATCTCAATTAATTACGGATGTTAGAATTTTTTAACAAACTCTAAATATTGAGAGATCGGATCCGTATGTGTTTTAATGAAAATGAAAATTAACCCGAGAATGATCTAGCGACCTACTTGATTACTATTTAGAGCCTATAGTCTATCGTGTTTCGAATGTTCGAATTGAAAGATAAAGTCGATAATTTACAAGAGTATTATTTTGTAGTTGATTGTATTATTTGTCTCGTGTGTTTCTTCGTGGTCATGCAGCTAATATTTATAACCCTTCCAACTTTTATAATTTTCTATGTTAGGCATGTTCTTGAACTATAATAAGTTCTATCTTCGGATCGTAATGCTCAATGTCTACAACTTTACAATTTACTTGGCATTCTCACTCGTTCATTATACATATCATGTCCATCTTATTTCGATTTCAGTTATTTAGTTATGCTAACCCACCATTACACATAAAGGTTTGTCTTCTCACGTCTTTTTTCCCATGTTGCCATTTGTCAAAAGTTATACTAAATCTTTTTATCTACACAAACTCTTTTTGGGTATTTTTCTTTGTGTGGGTTTGTCCGAATTTTGTCTAGTGGATTAGATTTTAGGTATAATAATAACTTTCAAATCTTTATGATCGAAGCATTATTAGGCTCTAGCCAATTTAAGTAGAGTTGACAGTACTAATTAGATTTGGGTATACTAATTAGATAAAATTTTTACTAACATTTGTCTTATATATAGATTTTGTTTGAATAAAGTACTCTTTTATACACAAACAATTCACAAACAAATTGTGATAAGATAATAAGTTTGGTATGAGAAGATATTTTAATAATAATAGTAAAATAAAAATATTATTATCTAAGGTCCAATGTTTATTAAGTTTTTTTTTTATTTTTTAAAGAATTTTAAATTATAAATATTACTAATACAAGCAATCAAAATCAAAATTAAAAATTAAATTTAGATTATTAATTTCATATTTGATTATATTTACTTTTATCATATAATCAAACTAATTTTACAATGAGAAAATTATAAATTAGTTCTTCTATTCTCAAAAAATAGATAATTACTCTTTCTTTAAAAAAAAATAAAAAACTTATTATTTAATCTCTTAATCAATGCTAATACATTTAACTTAATATTATTTTATTTCAAAATTATTATCTTTTCTCATCAATCTTTTAATATTTTTTACTATTCTTTTATTTTTAAAAATAAAATGAAAAGAAAAAAATGATTAAGTTACAAGAAAAGTTTTTAAAAATAAAGACTAAATAATTAGTTTTTGAAACAAAGGTGACTAGTTAATTCATTTCTCAAACCTAGAGGGACTAATTTATAATTTACTCATTTCACTATTAACTCCATATATATATATATATTCCCGGGGACCGGTTTATGTGGGAGTCGTATATTGTTGGGGAGTTTTTTTTCCCTAAATAGGATGCTTTTTAATATATTTTTCCAAAATAAGATATTTTAAATCTTATTTTTTAAAAAGAGGTATTTTGCCATGTAAGCATCCATATCGTATTTTTAGTTAAGTGTTACATTACTAATATTTAATATAATAATTTTAAAAAATAGAAATATAAAAGAAACAATTAACTTACACTTTCTTTGTCTCTCTTTTGTTGTATTTGCCCTAATTTCTTAAAGTTCAAATATTCTCGCAATTCAAAATCAAAATTACTAGAAAAGTTCTTTAACATATGAATATTGTCAATTAAGATACTTTTCTAAATTCTTTTGTTTTTATTTATTTAATTTTCTGTAAGCTAAACTGTATGTTACTGTGAGATAGCCTTCAAAAGGTAATTCTAGAACAGAACCCTATTTTCTCCTTCCAATTTGTAATTTTGTTGATTGAATTGCTCATGCAAGACTTAATTAGTTTTTTTTTTTTTAATTGAAAAAAAAGGGACAAAACAAAACAAAAAACCTATAACTCGTTTGTCCACTGTGAAACGAAAGGAAGATAGAATTTTTTTCCTAATAATGAAATAGACATTTTGTTTAGTCACAAAAGGGAAACTTCTTTAAACTAATTATTGTCTTGATTTTTATTTCTTAATCAACCAAATTGACCGTCATGCCTATGTGACATTATTAAATGTATCGAAGATTTAGAAAGCCTCAGCTCTCGGGAGTTAATATGAGAAGAATTTTAATTGTTGGTTCTATGGTGTTAAGTATTTGTGATCTTCTTTCCCAAATACCAAAGATGGGAAGAGGACATTTTCTGCTTATTAATGTCAATTTGTTTGTAATACGCATAATTCAGGAAGCTCATTCACAAACTAGGAATAAGGAGGTGGACAATTTCTTGTAGCCCCTCTAAAGGACATTCTTGTTGTTAAATTTCAGATTCTTCTCGTCCAGTTCTCTCACCAAGCAACTTGAGCCTCCTTTATGGAAATGATACCAACTTGTGGAATTCTTGGTTTCGAGGCTGCATCCACTTAAAATTCTATGTTCTCCCTATTCAATAGGTACATCACAGTGACTTTTGCCTTAGAGTTCTTCCTGCTAAATTGTATTGATCTTAGTGGCCCTTTTCTTATGTATCTTGAACCTGAAAGGTCTAGGTGCAACATAATTACTGAGCTCAAGCACATTAGTATCCCTACAAATGTCACGATAAGACCTGTTGAAAGTATGAAGCAATTCCAGCTATTTGCTTTAGGCTGTCAAACTTCCAATGAACATTAGAAGCAGAGACTGGATACCATTGTGCAATATATAGATCCCATGTTGGTTTAGAAGAATACTGTAGAAATTAAAGTTAGCATCTTATTATTATAAGTTTTCTTTGTTTCACTAAATTTTTTTAGTACATAGCAAAGATAAAGAGCATCGTGTGCAATGAAGTGAGTGCTAGTGATTATTGTTTCACTAAACTTCCAGTTCACATAGTTCTTTATTTGGAATAAAATAGACATTCCCAAGCAATTGCTTGGATCATTCTACATATACTTATTTCCATATAATATCGCCTAGAAATTTAAGAGCTTGAGAGTTCTGGATCATTCTTTATCATGTCAAGAGCATGCAATTGATCCTAAAATTTTCAAGAAAAAAAAATGATTAACAACTTGTTTTTCGGTTGAACCTCAACTCAAAGAAGTTAATGAGAAATATTAATTTGCCTTTGCTGCAAGTGCAAAGGAGATGAGGGAGGTGGTTATGTTGTTATTGAAAGCTTCAAAGCTGTAAAAAGTAACTGAATTAATACCTTCCTTTTCATTGCACAAAACTTGCAGTCAGTGGCAAATGGAGGGAGAATTTGATTGACAACAAGCTTCTTAACAGGAACATTCTCCTTTTTTAAGGATGTACGTAATCTAGATGACTCACTAACCAGAATCTATAAAGTTTCAAAATCATCAAAAACAGAAATGGAAAGGTAAGCTTAGAAACAAGGTATATTCATTCATAATAAGTTCAGAATGTATGAAGTTTCAAACTCACTAAAGGCATATACAGCTAAAAAAAGGCTGTAACATTCAGAGCATAATAGAAACTAAATAAGTCAAAAGCCAAAGAGTGCTTTCAGATGTAGAAGCTGACATTGTTTCGCTTCCAGCATCATCTTCCTTGGCAATTCTGCCCAACACAGAACCACTCTTCTTGTTGAATGGAGATGCCCTGATTTTCCTCTTTTTTTCTCGCGATATTCCTACTCCTTCAACGAGCTCCAGGATTTTAGTTAGAAGCTTCTGGCGCAATCCATAGGACTGCTTGCTGGCTGGCCCTCCCCTCTTTGTTGTTGCAGATGGTTTGGCTACCTTATCATTTGCAGCAGCAACAGCTTTTCTTCCTCCCTTCTTTTTTGTTTCTGAGACAGCTTTCACTTCGACGTCAAAGTCATCACCATCCTTGCTATCAGAAATCACTGAAGCAGTTGCTGGAGGCCTCTTCTGAGCAGCACCTCTCCTAGCTTTTACTTGTAGCTCATCAGTTTCTGTGTCTCTGATAGTTAAACAAACTAGTAACCAAAGTGCCCTTTCAAGTGAATACAAAAAAAAAAAATTGAGAAATTCTACAAAATAATGTCTGAGTTCCCAAATTCAGATGTTTCATTCCTAGAAAGCATTTGAAATTTCATTACAGCCATTTTGTTGAAGGCTAAATTACCAACTGATGGATCAAGCGAAGAATCAAGTCTATATGCATCAAGTCGATCCTTCAGTGATTCTATTTCATCATCATCATTAATGCCTTCCAAAACTAGAGAGGGTTTTTCTTGCTGATGAATAGAAAAACAATAGATTGTAAGTTCCAAAGAGCTACAAAATTCTGTCTATCAGGGTGTGCGTGCAAGTTTTTGTTTTGGGGGGGTGGTGGGGGGTGTTTCCATTCGAAACTGTACCTTTTTAGCAGGAGCCTTCCTTGAGCCTGCCCTTCCTTTAGGTTTCACTACCTCAGCAGCATTCTCTGGCGAAGATATAATAAGCATTAACAAAGCCCAAGTAAATTTATAAAACAAAGAAAATTAATATCTCTCATATCCCATTCCTGTGCTTTAGTCGCAATGTATGGACCTGTAAAGAACAATCATGAACCTCGGTTGATCCATTCTAAATTACCAAGAACAAAAATTGGAAAAAAATTACATACCTGAAATGAAATTAAAAAAAAAAAAAAAAAAAAAACCAAGAAGGAAAATAGAACTTTTGATTTCAATGTAATAAATTCTAAACAACCAATAAAAAGAATGGAAAAGAAATTAAGAAAAGCCATAAAGAACTTTAGAGCAAATTGATTAAAGCATTAAAATGAAAGGAGGTACAAAGGAAGAGCAAGTAATGATTAGAGGCGTGGGGGGCCTCTGAGAATCATGTCATCTAATTTTCACACAACTTTGTTGAAGAAGTGACACAAAGAGAGCTTACAGTGAATGGCTTGAAAACCAGAAACCAACTGATACGCGAGGAACTAATGATTTCGATGGCCTATTAAAGATGACGCTGAGATCTCCTTGAGGGAAACCAAATGCATGATCTTCAAGTAATAAGTATAGAGCTGAGGGGATACATAATGTTCCACCTACACCAACTACAGCAATCCTGAGTACAAAAAGGTAAACAAAATAGGGTCATCATATAGCACATGCAAATGTACATACTCTTTGATCATGAGCACTCTACAAGGATATTATTAACCCTACCTAGTAGATTTTATATGCAAAATTAAACCATAATCATAGCATGGAAATCCCAGCTCATAAACTTCCCCTTTCTTAGAAAGTGTCTATCATCCCTTTACTGCCTGCAACTTTAATTAATCTTTCCATTTTGTTGGTATATATTCAATCTTTACAATACAGGAAGAAACTATCTCTATTAGCTAGAATTGATCCTAAACAATCTAGTTTCCTTGATGGTTTATTGAGAATGAGAAGGGACATGCACACATAAACCTAGATAAGTACGTAGGACAAAGTACGAAACCCAGAATTGACAAAAACAATCCACCATCAACAAGTGTTGCTCAGTAAACATTTACAACACTACATACTTGTCGAGAAACTTGTTATTCACTGAATGACCATAGTTCTTGAAATTTTTTGCGTGCTGCCTTTCAAGTTTTTAAACGTGAAAGACTGATCTTAGTACTCAAGTTTCGAGTGTAATCAATCATTAGCTAGTTACTATTCAATGGATCACATACGGCATTTAATATCATTCTTACTGTCAAATTGAAGCTCATACCTGATTGCAAAAGTATAGGTCTCCACGAGGTCAACATCAATAAGAAGTCGCTAAAATTTTTCACAACTTCTATAGTCTGAAAACAGATGATGTTTACTAGAAAGACAAACTTCAAGGCAATCTCTTATATTGATGGTAGTAAATTCAACCAATAAACAAGGCAAAATGTAAGCTAAAGTACCAGTGCAAGATGACATTAAAATTTGCAAGAGCTTTACAGTGCTCAGAAACTACAAAAGAATCTGCTCTAATATCCTCTATGCCCCTTCCTAAAGGGAAAAAAGGAGGAAGAAGATCATAAAATAATTGATATTCAATGAAAAATATTTGCAAGAAACAGCCTCAAAAGTAGGCACAATAACCAAATAGAAAGAAACAGTTTGATAAACGACTATAATACCTTTGAGAAATACCAACTTATCAAGTTTGGTTCATTCCCTGTATTAATGACTAATAATAAGTCAAGTCATTCCAATTCCAAACCAGATGAAGCAAAAATCCACAGAAGGGTGAAGTAGACAAATAATGACCACAGTGGATCAATACTACTTATTCTGTCATCTTCAGTGTTTGGTCTAAGACTACTGTTTCCCTTCATCTAATAAACAAAAATAAGCTAGGCAATGATGCTGCAATACCTTAAGTGATGGTAACAGAAGGCAGTAAATATCTTTTAAGAAATCAAGCAGTTAATCGAAGCTGACATCATAACTTCAGACGTATTACTCACACAATTAGATTTGTTTAATTAAGTTTTTTATAGAAGAAATTGGGCAATTCAGCTTTCAACAGCCAGATCAGTAGCAAGTAGCCTCTCTTAAATTAAACTTTAATATTTTTATTGTTCAAGAACCAATGTTTACTGTTCATGAATCAGACACAAAAATTAAAACCATCTCATTAGGTATGCAACAAGAACAGGCCTTGTGAATTGTTCTTGTCAGAAATCTCTTGTCCAAAAGAACTATAAATTAGGGTAAAAAATTAACAAGAAGAGAAATTGAAAAAAAATCACATACCTGAAATGAAATTAAAAAAAAAAAAAAAAACAAACTAAGAAGGAAGATAGAACTTATCGTTACCCGACGTCGGACGAGACTCTCGAAAATCTCTAGTTTAAGATTTATTTATTTACAAAATTTATTTATAGAGTTTAGAGTCACTACCTAATATTGAAGGAACTAGAAACTTAAAATTGATATTGGTTCGGAGATTCTATGGTAAGGAGTTGATTACGTTTTTGGGAAGATCTCGATTACCCAAAAGTATCATTTCCTAAGAAAAGTACCATGTCTAGTTTTTTAAACTCCAATTTTTCCAAGTTCTTTATTTTAAGTCAAATTAATTTTTTTATTTTTTAGCATGGCATCATATTGAAATGATCGTTAAATCTCTTCGTCGGGAGACACGTCGGTTCAAACATCGAATCTACCTTTTGAGTCTCGACACAATCAATGTGTCAAAGAACACTTGTTTATTAAAAATGATTTTTTATTTTGCTAACAATAGTCCCTATCAAATAGGAGACTTTGTTAAAAGTTTTATGATTTTTTATTTTTATTTTATTTTTTATTTATTTCATTTTTTTTATTTTATGGAAGATCGTCATCATTCCCTAAAGAATTAGAAGACTTGACAATCCTTAACTCATTAATTATCGACGCTAATTATTAAACAAATAAATTAAAGCTACATCAATTAAATAAATAAATAAATTCAAATACCGAAATTTAAATAACATTCATGCATAAAATAAATTCAAAATTGAAGTTACATTAATTAAAATAATTACGGATAATTAAAATATTAAATTTTAAGTTAACATAAACTAATACACATGTATGAAATAAGCTTAGGAATTAAAATTACATTAATTAAAATAATTAAAGACAGATTCAAGTATTTAAATTAAATATAAAATAACAACATGCATAAAAATAAGGACCCAATTTTTTTTTTTCTGGGTTTGGGTTGGACTATCCAATCCAGACCTAAATGTTTTTATTTTGGGGGTCGGTCTTGGCTGAAATTAGCCCAATCTAGCCACACCCACATAAGTCGGGCTTGCCCAACCCACAAACACTTCTTAATTCTTCTTTTGACAAAAAATTAGATCAAAGACCCCTTTTTCATTTTTCACTCTCTCTCTTTCCTATTTTCTCTTCTTTCTTTTTTTTTTTTTCTTTCTTTTTCTCTCTCTCTCGTTCCACCTCCATGGATGAACCGGTTCTAGTTCGTCCCTCCCATCTTTTCTCTTCTCTTCCTTTTTCCTTTCCTTTCTCTTCTCTTACCTTTTCCTTCTCCATCGTTCTCCTTTTTCTTTATCTCTCTTTCAAATCTGTCTCACTTTCTCCTCGCTCTCATCTCGCCCGAATCTTCATGAAGAACAAATCGGAGATCTCCCCTCTTCTTTTTCAATCCATCCTTCCCTCTCACTATATTAATCCCCCTCTTCAAGTTAGATCAAAGCTACAAATCAATTTTTTTTTAAAAAAAGTTTTCCCAATTCGACCAAACCTTAAGTTTTTTTAATTCTTCAATTTTTTCTTTTAATTGGCTTAATTTATCTTTAAATCGAACCAAATCCCACTTATTAAGAACCAATTTCTTGCAACCCCCAAATTAATTTTGTTCAAAAAACTTCAAGAGCCCTAAATTAGAATTGAAATCAATTCAATTTCAGCTTAGGGTTTAAACCTCAAATTAAAACTCCAATTAACTTTAATTGAGTTTGATTCATGCTTTTCAACCCCGATTTTAATTCAATTTTAAAAACCCTCAAAATTCAAACACAAACCTAAATTCGTCAAAGCCAAAATTAAAAAGGAACTAAAAGAAATTACTCAAAAGAATTAGTGAAGATGATGGAATTGTGGCTTCGGTTTAGGTGAATTCAGTCTCTCTTTTCTTTTTTTATTTTCGAACTTTTCTTCTCTTTTTTCTAGCTACCTGGCGCTTGGATTTTTTTGGGTTTTTTGTTCTTTCAATTGTTGAACTCCTTATTTCTCTTCATTTTCGGACTCACTCCCTCTTGCGTTAGAGCTTGTGTATGTATATGCATGAATACTTGGTTTTCCATCATGATGATGTGAGATTTTTTCTTCTGTAAGATTGTCAAGTGAAAGGGTTGGATGGAACCGAGTTTTGGGCTCTAACAATGGTGAGACTCGCTTGAGATTAACTTAGGGAGGCTGGAGATTGTGGGTCGTGTAGGTTGGCTACCGGCAATAAGTGGTCGTGGTGATTTTGTGTTACGGGAGTTGCAGCAATAGGGTGGTCGTAAGGAAGGCTGGATATTATGCGCTACTAGAGGTCATATTGCAATAAGGGAGGTCGTAAGTGGTTGCAATGCAACTTATAGCAATAGGTGTCGTGGAGACTGAAATTGTCCAGATGGGCGACGAGTAGATGCAAGATTAAATATTTACAAGGGCCAAAATAAATATTTATATATTTTTCATGCTTTACACACACACATACACATAACATACCAATATATATTTTAAAATAATCTCAAAATATAATCACTTAAAATAGAGACTTTCATTCTTTCAAGTCATAAAAATTATCTATAAATAAATTTATAGCAAAATTTTCAGCAATTTCTTTTTCAATATACACTAACAAACAATCGAAAAGAAAGAAAGTCATCTTTTATCTTGTTACGAAACTTAGTCTTAACTATACTCATAGCTGAACATGACCGCTTTGTGATAGTCGTAGAAACTAAAAAAGTAAGAATAAATATTATCACTCTATACATAATTGGATAACTTTCAAATTTTTTTGTCTTCGTCGACTTTTGATACAAATCGGATATAGTAGTACTAGTAATCGGATATATTTGTTATGTTTTACACACACACACACACACACACACACATATATAACATACCTACATATATTTTAAAATAATCTCAAAATAGAGATTTTCGTTCTTTCAAGTCACGAAAATTATCTATAAACAAATTTATACTAAAATTTTTAGTAATTGTTTTTTCAATATACACTAACAAACAATCGAAAAAAAGTCATCTTTCATCTTGTTACAAAACTTAGTCTTAACTATACTCATAACTCGAAAATGACCGCTTCGTGATAGTCGTAGAAACTATAAAAGTAAAAATAAATATTATCACTCTATACACAATTGGATAACTTTTAATTTTTTTTGTCTTCATCGACTTTTGACACAAATCGGATATAGCAATAATAGTAATTTTCAATAAATTATAAGTTAGTCTATCTAGTTTTTTTTTAAAAAAAAAAATTGGATTAATTAGTTCTTCTTGTTCCAAAAACAAATTATTTAGTTCTTGTATTTTAAATTTTCTTGTAATTTAATAATTAAGGAATATATATATATATATATATATATAAGAGTATAGAAGAGTTTAATGAAAAAAATAACATTTCTTGAAATAAAATAATGCAAATTAAATATGATCATCGGTCAAAAAACTAAATAATTTTTGAAAAATATATGGACTATTTTATAATTTATTATAGTAATCTTAGATTGAAATTATTAAATTTTTATATCTTTAAAAAAAATTATTATTATTATATATAGAAGAGTTAATGAAAAAATAACATTTTTTGAAATAAAATAATGTAAATTAAATATGATCACTAGTCAAAAAAATAAATAATTTTTGAAAAATAAATGGACTATTTTATAATTTACTATAGTAATCTTAAATCGAAATTATTAAATCTTTATATCTTAAAAAGAAAAAAAGAAAAAACCCAAATAGAAACCCAAAATCAACTAGTTATACAATAATAAGACTAGTCTAAAACAGAGGCGTAATACGCCGGGGAGGCTAAAAACTTGACTCGACTCATTACCATATTGTGTAAATGTAACATTTTTCATGTAGTTACAAAGAGAGCCAAAATTGGAGGGGGCCGGGCCCTTGTAAACTTGAACGTGGGTCCGCCACCGCCAATGGGTACTCCGGTGAAGGTATTAGGACGAGTTGCTAGGATTATTGACTTGGAGGAAAATGTTGTTTGAGCGATGTTGGAGATTGTGGGCTACCGGAGTTGGGATTGTTGACTTGGGAAAGAGACCGTTGAAATTTACAGCAGTGGGATGATGTAGGTGGAGGTTGCAAATGGAGGGAATTGTGGGTCGTAGGGTGGTCGCAGGAAACCGTAATAGTTCGGCTTGGTATATTAGTGGCTGCAAGTGGAGGAAGATTATGTAGGAATTGCATTAAAGATGCTTCGGCTTGGGTAGCCAAATAATTTGGAAAATTGTCCGGGGTAGCTAGGAGATGCTCGGAGAATTATAAACGAAATGGAGGGGAACTGTCCCTCCATCTCTCGTTTTCATTTTTCATTTTTCATTTTTTTATTTTTATTCCTTTTGTTTTGTTTTGTTTTTTTTTTTTTTTTTGTTTTTTGTTTTTTGTTTTTTTTTTTTTGTAATTTGAAAAGAAAGAATTTTTTTTTATTTTATGTAAAGCAAATATGAATCTAAATAATAAAAAGAAAAAATAAATAAACTAAAATAAAGAAAATGGGTAAAATTTTAGATTATGATAGAACTTTTGCCATAACCGAATTTCACCCAATCTTTTGATGAAAAACCAAAATTTTTTTTCCTAATTTATAGTTTTCTAGACTTGAAGCTAAACCAAGGATCGATAAAAACCAAGTGATAGAATGAAAAATTAAGAGAGATCGAAACTCTATGTGTGTGTGAGTGAGAGAGAGAGAGAGAGAGAGAGATCGAAACAATGTTTTTCAGCCAAAAATACAGCTTGTAGGAGGAGGGTCATTCTTGCAATAGTTATTGAAGGCATAGAAAGTGTAAGCCATGTGTTTATAAAGAGAGAAAACAATAAAAGGATAGAGTAATATAGAATGATAATATAATTTTTTAATAAAAATAAATTAAAACTAATATTTCAATCTATTAAAATAAAATGATTCTTATTTCACATAAAATATCTTATTATAGAGAATAAATTTAAAACCACCCTGTCGCAAGAAACAAGAATTAAAAGTGTCTTGTTACGAAAAGAAACTCATTACTGGGGACCTGGTTTCCGTGGGAGTTAAATATTACTGGGGACTTGGTTTTTTTCATAACAAGGCAGTTTTATCCCACGGAAACCAGGTCCCCAGTATTATATATATTTTAAAAAATCCCACGGAAACCAAGTCCCCAGTATTATATATATTTTGAAAACTCCAACGGAAACCAGGTCCCCAGTCTTGTGGTCTCCAAAGAATCCGTCTGCCGCGAAGAAACTGTGATCAAAGGAAAGGGAGAAGAAAATGGTGATCCTGTTGGTGGCGACCACCACAGATACAGCTTCCATAGGCCCAGCCTCGGCTCTACTAGCCATGCCCGGTTGGCACCCTGGTCCCTCCTTGCAGGTGAGCACTTCTCATCCTTTACTTTTCTTGCTTTACTTTCTTTCCACAAAGTTGAATTCTACTGCATCGACTAGATTATTCCAACTGCAAAACATCTTTTTAAAAAAAATTAATTAAAAGTTTAAATAAGAGACTGACATGTATATGGTGTGTTTGTTAGGATGCTGCCGTAAGTTTTGTAAACAAGGATTTGAGGCTAATAAAATTGGATAACAGTCTCGTTGAAGAGGATCACTTAGATAAACGTTGGGAGGAGGCAACCGGCGAGTTAGTCGATGAGGTCATATTTTTTAGCAAGCATGTTGCTTCTTCTAATCGGCCAGCTCTTACGGTCCATCCAATTGGTATATTAAATTATTAATTAGCATTCATTTGATTCTACTAATGTTTGGTTCTTTATTAATTAACATTCATTTGATTCTACTAATGTTTGGTTCTTTATGTTTTAGCCTTGTGGATTTAAAGGGAAAGGGGAAAAAAATAAATCTGAAAGGGAGAATGTAATGTTTGTTAGGATTTGCATTCTTGGCTTAGGTACTCCGCATGTAGGTGAAGGCGAGGTACTTGTTGCTGGTGGAAAGCCAGGATGGGCAGCACTTCCAAATCCTAGGATAGGGCCGTGGTTGAGGCTCTTGAGGACTATTGCTGAGTCACATAAACTAAGTCCTGAATTCGAGGTACAAAGTTAATCAACATTTGATGTTAAGTTACTTATGCTTCTTAGGTATAACCAATATTGTAGAATCCCGCATTGTGTTGTGTTAATGATACATAAAAATTGGAAATACTTTATTTGGCTGTTTTTCATTATTTTCCTCTATCTAGTTTCTCCTGATGAGTTTGGATTCTTAATTTTCATTTCGAATTAAACACAGTTTCTTCTTTCTCACTTCTGCTGTCTTTTGTCATTACAAATTTATGTCTCCTTTTTCAAGCATATCTTGTTTGCTATCTTGATGGCCCAATAGGCTAGTCCCTAGAGTGTTCTACTTTAGGGACATTTCTATTCTGTAATTGTTTTGTAGTTGGAATGCATGATAAAAAATTATATCTTCAATGAAAACAAATCAGTGCATTTACCAACCTTCAATATTTGGAGGGACATCTCTTTAAAGTTCTTTCCAATCTGGATGTGGAACATGAGAGCTTGAAAATGGTAGCTTTATTTAACTATCGTTGTCAATATATGTAATCGATCCATCCTAAGATTATCCATTGACAATGTATTGTAGCCTCATCTTCAAAAATAAAACAATCCTTATTCCAATCTAAAACCAAACAAGATCAACTGCAATTTTATACATATGTATTGATATTAAAACCTCACATCTACTATTCCTGAGACATCTATTGCCTTACTTCACAGTTCCTTGATGCCTCTTGGATTCTCCTCTTCGTTCATTATACCTACAGAAATCCTTTTTTTCATGTTGAGTGACATATAACTGGAAGCAATAAGAGAAAAGGGATGTAAACCTCTATAGCCTTGATTTATATGAGAGATGCATCAAAAGGAAAACTGAAATCTCGAAGAAGGAAATAAGAAAACTACTTAAAGCTTAGAGATTCCAAAAGAAAAAGGAAACAAAGAAATCTGCTGACAACAAAAAACATACCATTCATTAAGTTCTGCAATAATTTTTCCCTGCCCTCAAAATGTTCACTTATTGGACTCCAGCTGCACCACAGTTCCACATGACATTAAAGCAGCAGAGAGCTGCTGCTGAAGCTGGAGCCTTCTTGTCTGCCCCTCTAAAATTTTCCTGTTTTTCAAAAGCTGAATTACTTATGCTGGCAGAGGGCATCACTTGATTTAACCCTTAAGGAGTAGAGAGAGTGATAAGTTCTGCTATAGTTGCTTATGGGTAGCTGGACAATCTCAAAGTAGATGATCAATAACTTCTCAATGATATCTGTGCAGAGATTACCAACTTATTTTAATCTTATATCTTCTTAAATTTTTAGTTGTCAAAATACAAATCTCTAGAGCTTCATAAAAAGACTTAATGGGATATCTTTAGATCATAAATTCATTTACTTCTAGCTGTCTGCACCCCAATATTCTCCACTAGATACAGCAAGACCATTGGAGGATTTATTGTATCTAAGTTCCAGTCATGTCTTAAGCTCTTCTAAAACTTAATCAGTAGATCACCCTCTGTGATTGTCACACACCATAGTCAATGTAGCTAGCAGTTGTTGCCTTTTTCATTTGAAGTTAAAGAGAAGAAATCAGGAAATGCACTTATAAAGGTTGATTACCCATGCGAAACTTTATCGTATAACAAAATTCTATTATTTCTATGTTTTATGACTTCTATTACTTCTATTCACATAGACATCGAAACCATTTTTTAATAGTGTTCTGGAAACTAGCACCTTGAGGACTCTTTAACTTCTCTGAATCACCCGGCTCCAGTACCTTCCATGCTCTTGGCAACTATAAGTCTCCTCCAAAAACTATCATGCTTTACTGAGTACCTGTCCAATCAGATGCACCCATGCATCCGTATGGAAGGGACTAAGGAGTACACACCTATCTCCAATTTACCAAATAGTACTTAGTTTCTCTTCTGTTCTCTTCCTCAAGACATCCCTTTGAGGTTTTTCTGATTTCTGAATGGCTGAATCCAAAATGGGAAATGAAGATAAAAAAAAAAAAATATTTAGGTAAACATGGTTGCGTGCTCTTAATGCAAATATTTTTCCACAGCTCCAGAGATACTGCCTCCTCCATCTGCTTCTGCTTTTTTACCTACTGCTATATATCATGATCTCTCACTTGAATAGCCTTAAAATGCACACCTGAAGGACTCCCAGGATGAATCAATGGGAAGAGATACAACTATAGCCTAAAGAAACTTTCTGATTATTTTCACATTTAGTTTAATCTCAAACTGCTTTATTGATCAATTAATTTTTTCATTCATTCCATTAACTAGTTTATGCTCTAGTTTAATCATAACCATGAGTATTAGAGGGTGCATAAAAATTCTTTATTGTGGCCATGCTTTTTATTTTTATTTTATCCTTATAAACAAAATAGTTGAAACATGCTGACTTTTTTTCAATTGTTCTATCATGTGTAGGTTACATTGGAAGCCACACATCATGGGCCATTAACTAATTCGCCAACCATGTTTGTGGAGATTGGTAAACTTCTACCACTAATTAGGTCTGCTTTAATCATCATGGGATTGTTATTTTTGGTTTTACGATATCCACTGTTTCACCTTTTGTGTTGTTGATTGTCTTGGTTTAATTAATTGAATATTGCCTTTTCCATTTTCACAAGGTAGCACAGAAGAATACTGGAGGAGACAGGATGCTGCAGAGGCCATTGCATTGGTTGGTATTTGTTGGTCGGAATAAGCTATGTTTTACATGCAGTAGCTTCATTATTGTTAAATTGCATGCTTGCAGACATTACTTACCTGCTGAGTTTAATTTTTATTTGCATTTGATTTGAAAATTTTAACTTTGAATTGTTCATAGTTTCTCTATCCAGTTTTCTCCTTCAGTTGCCTATGAGTGAGTGATAAATCTGCTCGACTAGTGTTATGTTCAACCTTTAAAGTGATAATAAAGACTCTTACTCAATTTAGTGATATAATTTTTGGTGCTTGAAGTTAGTCTGGCAAGGATTGGGTCTTGGAGGAGGAATTGCTGAGGGAGACTGGAGCAGGTACATCCTTGCATAACTTATTATTGTCAGTGAGTAAGAAGATATGGAGTTGATAGATGATTCCATTGTTTTAAAGTAATGAATACTTTGCAACTTATTTTTCTCAAGCAACAAGATATGCAGTGGGTAGATGAATTTCCATCGTTTCAAATCGAAGAGAATTTGTTTTACTCATGGTACTTCTGATTGTTAGGCATGAATAATCTGTGGGAGTACTTTTCTGATATCTGTAAGGTTTTTCTGCATGTGTCGTGCATGTTTTCCATGTTATATTACAGCAAGTGAATGCAAGTGTTTGATACTTGCTCACCATTTCTTCATGTGATGACCCTCTCTTGGTTTGGAAGGGAAAGGGTGAAAGGAAAGAACTTGATTCCATTAATTTGAAAATCTCATATTCTATATATTAAGATAGATGAAGGGGGAAATAGTGTAGTCAATATGTCAAAAAAGCCTTTCAAATTTACACTTTTCAGTTGCAAAATTGATACTTTTATCAATTCAGGAATTATGGTAGCAACAAAATCCTTCTTGGAATAGGTGGCGGGCATTATATGCCCCGACAGACGGACATTGTTCTGTAAGTTTCCATCTTCACATTTTTCTGTCTATCTAGTCGTCAAGTAATTATTTTGTACCTTACATCATTACAGTAATTATGCTCCTAAATTGAGCATATTTTTTTGAATGGATATGGATGGCTATATATATATATATATATATATATATATAATTTTAATGTTATGCATTTTCAGTAAAGATGGTGTTTGGGTAGGCCATTTGCTTTCTGGGTATTCCTTGCCGATGGAAGATCCTGGCCAATCAAAAACACAAATAAATACTGAGGCTGTGCACGGAACTTGGAGAGACGCAATCAAAGTGTCATTTGAGGCTACCAAATCAGCTTTCCCTGGGGGAGAAGTTCTAGCACATCTTGATCACAAGTTAGTCGTTTCTATGGACAAATTTTCATCTATGATTATCCTTTGAAAACCACTTTGACCTTAATAGCCTGTTTTACTTGGATCTTTGCGACCCATAGTATCCATACCTGCAGTTTGTGTGGGAACACGGTGTGAATTTAGAAATTACTCAGAAAGAGTTTGTCAAGAGGCATGTCCTTGTCAGACAGTTCTGAAAAACACTCGGTCTGCATTCCAAATTTGAATACGTTGGATTTCAAGTAAAATTCATTTTTTCCTCCCCTCTCAAAGAACAATGAGCTACTTGTGTCAGATGCTTAGTGATGCTTATTTTCTTCTTGTTTTCTGAAAACTGTATCGTCCTAATGCTATAGATTTTATTGGTGAATTCAGGAGTTTCAAGAGCTGGCAGAGGAATGCCGTCACAACTTTCCTGGTGGAGCAGAACATAAAGATTGGCAAAGCCAGTGACTTTTCTTAATTACTTTATCACACTATCGTATGCTGAAGAATTATATTTGGGTTCTTATTTGTCTTTCTTCTCTTGACTGAGGGTGATTCCATTTTGTATATTTGTTTCCTATATGAGAAAGATTGATTTTGAAACCTAATTTACAGAATAACGAACATCAAGGCATTAATAGGCGCACTTCTTTAAAGTAGAGGTGTGGGCTCGAATAGGAATTTAGGCTTTCCCCAAACAATGATTAAGCACACTTCTCCTTCATAAAGAACAACGGAGAAAAAACCTTCCATAACAAGAAATAATATTATAGCTCACAAGTTTTGTTGAGTTGATATATTTATATATATAATGTAATTCATCAAATAAATATATATCAAATTTACACAAGCAAGGGTTTTTTTTTTTTTTTTATCATTTCATAATTTATTTTTGATATGACCCTACTTCCATTAAATTGTTAACAGTTGGATTCATGCTATAGTTATAGTTTCAACTTTCAAAGCCGATTATTTGACCATTTGTATGTGGTTTTGTATTCATATATTACAGCTTGATGTCTAGCCTGTCACAAATTGTCACTATCGTGAAGTAAAATCTTCTAAGTTTCTCATGTGAAAAGAAATTTTTGAAGTCAATCTTAAACTTTTTCACAAAACAAGTTTACGTGAAAGAAACGATGGTTCTTGTCTTCAACATTTCCATCTTAAAATATATGTATATGAAGAATAAGCTTCCTTCTCTTTGGAAAGCATGCAGTTCATATGTGTGTTATTGGTGGTGGTGGTGGTGGTTAGAAATTGACTTTTAAGTTCTTTAATTTAGGCTAGCTATTTTCTACACTTTCTATCTTCGACAAAAAAAAAAAAATTTGGAGAAGAAGAAGAAGCTTCGTCTAGAAACGATATCTCTTGAATGCCCTTCTTTGATTATTCTAATTTCTACCTATAATTGTAAAAAAGAAGACTTAGACATTTTTAATTAGTTTTAATATTTGAGAGTTGGCCTTACAGTTAAGTAAATGTGCTCTTTTAACCATTGGGATTTTCTTATTTTTAATAGTAGTTTGTGATCGAAGAATTGGAAAGAAAAATTTAGTTTCAACGTGTGAGATTATGATTCAAACATATTATCTTGACATAATAATAATAACTATATGCCTATCCCAATCGAATCCCTTGTCTTTTAAGGATTTGTTTAATTAACCCTTATTGTTACTAAAATTAAAAGTTCCCCTAATTTTTTTCATGTAAAAGCATTTCTAATGGTGCTCTTTACTTTTAGTTAGTATTTTTAATGTAAATAGAGAGCATCATTAATTATATAGATTGAAGATCAATATCCTTTCTAATGCTACTCTCTACTTAACTTTTTATTTTGACAAAATCTATAAAACTCGTAGAGACTATTGGTGAATAGGTTGAGTGACATAGGAAATAGTAATTTTTATTAATGAAATATAAGATAAAGAGTCATTTAGACTCTCTAGTATTGAAGAGCTAAAGACACTCTCTATATCAATTTTAAATATAGAGATTGTGATAAAGAGAACATTGGAGATAAAATTTGGATCAAACCTCTTTATTATAAAGAAAAATCTTAATATAAAGAGAGCATTGGAGATGCTCTAACTCATACATGGTATTAGTCTTGCTGGAAAAATGATGCTTCCTAAACATTTTGGTGCTAAAAATTCATTAACAAATATACTTTGACATTAAAGTAGCGATGCACATGAGTGATCAAATACCAAAAAAAAAAAAAAAAAAAAAAAAAAAAAAAAAAAAAAAAAAACCTCTTTGTCTGTTTAAAAAAAAAAAATTACGCAAATGTAGAAGTTACTTTTAGCATCAATAAGTTTCATGAAGCTTTAGTTGGGAAGGCACATGCTAGTCATCTGTAAAATTAGCAAATCCTCTAATTGTAGATAAAGACAGGGGTTAATTAAGCAAAATATCCGTATTTGAGGGACTTTGGTATGCCATAACTCAATGGAGGACTCAATTGAGATAGTCTTAATAATAATATGGCTAATTGGTTATAGAGTACTGAATTATTGGTCAACATGGTAAAAGTTCCTTGTATATATATATATATATTTTTTCCTTATTTAGGTCTTCAATCTATTTTTTTTATTTATGATTAAAATTTTATTTCGATGATCAATTTTAGGCCACATTAGACATACATAGTCATAAAATAATAACATATTTTTTGTATTTAGAACTTTCAAGATATGTATTATTATTTTAATAATTTTATGTGTATGTTTCATATCGTTTGAAAATTGATTAATAGAATAGAATGACTTGTGAATTAAAAAAAAAATTAGGAACTTAAATAATAATAAAAAAATTCGAGACTTTTCTTGACAAAAGTAAATTTCAAATGTCCATCTAAGACTGGCACCGTATGGAATCAGGAAAGGACTTTTCTTCTTCCATTTGGAAAATCTTGCAAAGAATGTGTTAACCAAACTCCAAGGACAGCACACCCAGCTCTCGTATATATATAACACCATCCTCTTCTATAGCTTTTGCATCATCAAAAAAGGCTAAGCTTCTCATTAAGTGTTAGAAATGGAAATGAACAGCAAGCTTGTGCTTCTCCTTGCACTTCTTGTTGTATTCTCCTGCAAAAGCACAGAGGCCGTGAAGCTTAAAGCCACTCGCATCCAATTCTACATGCATGATGTTGTTGGCGGTCCAAATCCAACCGCTGTCCGGGTTGCAGGCCCTGATAACTCCACCGGCCCAAATTCAACTGCTGCCGTGTTTGGGTCCATTTACATGATGGACAACCCGCTCACAGTCACACCCGACCCAAATTCCACCGTGGTGGGACGTGCACAAGGGATGTATGGTATGTCATCACAAAATGAGTTCAGCCTTCTCATGTCACTAACTGTTGGCTTCACTAGTGGAACTTACAATGGTAGCACATTTAGTATGCTTGGCCGGAATCCGATCATGAATGAGGTGAGAGAAATGCCGGTCGTCGGTGGTACCGGGATCTTCAGGCTTGCCCGTGGATATTGCTTGGCGAAGACCCATTCAGCGTTTGGATTTGATGCAATAATTGGATACAATGTGACGTTGTTACATTATTGATCATAGATATATGTATGTTCTACTTTCCATGTATTATTTATTGGCTGTGAAGTTTGACTTCATCTCCCATTCTTTCGCATTGCTTGAGCCTGCCTTTTGTAATAAATAATAATGCTAGGTGAATTTTTCCTCTATGTCTTTTTTTTTAAAAAAAAAAAAAATTGAATTTACATTCCACAATAACAGCTATGTAAAAATTTTCAAGGTCTGGATTTGAGAAAAGGTAATAGAAAAGAATTTATTAGACCTGATCAATGATTTACTTAAATTCAAACAACAACAACAAAATTCAATATCAATACATGATATTAAGCAGGAAATAAAATTACCATTTACATTATTAAAAAAGTAATTCCTATGCAAATGCTTACCCAGCTATACTTTAGTAACCCAAATGCTTCCATATAAAAGGTTAAAGAAGAAATAAAGGTGAGAAATAAAAAGCATGGAAATGCGAATGAGACATTAGTACAATTAACTATGAGCTTTTGTTTCCATTCTTAAAATAATAATAATAAAAAAATTAATAACATATTAACGGTCATTTTTTTCATTACAGCGGAATTTATGGGACATAAAGTGTACAAAAATAGGTTGTCTCAACTCTTAATTTTACTAGCTAACTAACCTAATTAAAATCCACCTAAATTTTAAGGTAAAGAATTTGAGTGATTAATTAGTTGACATTCCTCATCAGCTCCATCCAAGAACCCAAAAAGAAAGAGAGAGAACAGAACAGCTATCAGCTTAAATTTCTCCTCTTTTTTTAAACCATATGTAGAATTATAACCGTCTCAAAGTCATAATGGTTCCAACACTATGTAACTCCCTAATTAATTCATTCATTCATGCACTACCCTAAGTACAACATTTTTCAAATTCAAAACTGTCCATTTCCCTCTCCTCCTAACCCGATTTCCTCCTCCTCCTCCTCTCTCTCTCTCTCTCTCTCCAACTGATCAAACTATTTTTGTGAAAGAGAATACAGCACTCGTAACTGTAAAGATAAACAAGATACAAATATGTCCACACCATGGACTATGACCAGGTTTGTCAGATGGAGAGTGAGGGACTTGGCGTCTTGTTTCTTGGCTTGCAGGTTTTCTTTAGGTACCCACACGGTATTAATTTAAGCTTTTCACTAACTTAAGAAAAAAATTGGCCACAACACATGGGTTGTGTAAAAGTAGCCATGGTAGAACTATCAGCTTTAGCATTGTGTTAATTTTATTTCCTTTCTGTTTGATGTTCTTTATCATTTTTTTCTAATATTTGGAAATTCTAGCTATCTGTTTATGGTTGTTTAATTTCTTACAGATGATGAAGAGGAAACGTTTCGCAATTCATCATCTCAATTACCCATCAGAAGCATGGTTTTTGACAGTAGTACAACTAGAGGCAATAATAAAAGAAACAAAAAATTATCAAAGAAAAATAAAAAATTCAGACAGGTAAATCTTGGTTCCAACAGTAGTAGTGTTTCAGTGGAAAATTGTAATAGCAAGGCCTCAAGCAAGCCCCACTTGCAAGATGAGGAATATATCGTTTTCTGTTTTGGAGAGGATGGTGACTTTGATGTTGTCAAAGAATGCAAGTCAGAAACACTGGAATGCTTTGATACAAGTCCAAGCTCTGTCAATCCGAAGGTCAGCACTGACCAAAACTTAATTTCTTCTTCCATCTTCTTAATTTTTTTCCCTTTTTATTTCATTTCTTGCTCTGCAAAAAGTTAAGCAGATATTGAGCTAGCTAAGGCAAGTAATACTGACTTAGTGCAAAATTACAAATCAAAGAATATTCCATACTTAACTTCTTTGACTCTGCGAAAACAGCTTCACTCTGTTGAGGTTTCAGGAACAATTAGAAAGAACAGCCATCATCAGAAGTCAGATATCGTAAATGGACTTGAGAAGGAGATCACTCCTGTTAAAAAGGTACAACGGTCTCTCTCTCTCTCTTTTTCCATAATTAATACCCATTTTTACCAACTAAAATTTTGATTCTGGTCAAGGCTTCATGTTTTTGTTAATATATGGCACACATCAAAATGAAGTTGCTGATCAATTACATGGCAAGCTACATTTTTATTTTTATTTTTATTTTTTCTCGGATTAATATGTAGGATTGATAGCTATGAATTTAACAACAATGAAATGCAATGAACTTTAATCAGAAAACAGGAAAAAAAGAGAAGAAAGACTATAATGGCTGTAATGCAGCCAGCAGCAGCACTCAATAATTAAAAATCAAGTGAACTTTTTTCTTCTTTTTCGATAGGATGGGGAAGAAGCTGGCAGCCTTTTGGGTTCAGAGCCACCTTGTAATGCCACAACAAGGTCGTACCAAATTGGAGAGATTGACAATTGTGGAACGGTATCTGCTAAATCAAGCGACTCTAAGCAATCAGATGGAAGCACAGGATCTTTTTCCTTTCCTGTGTAAGCTAAAACATGCATCTTGTTTTATTTTAAACTTAGATCGGTGATTTTGATCAAATATTAACTTTGTTAATCAATTTAAATCACTCAGAATGCGTTGGGAGTTGATAGGCAGTCCTGTGCAAATGCCGAAATCAGAGAGCCTTTATGCAAGGAAGCACAAGGCCCCCTGTGCTCGTTTTCAATGCTGTAGATTCTGAAAGTCGTCCTTTTCTACTCTCTTGCTCAAAATTTATTTATTTATTTATTATTTTTTCTTATCCAGGATGGATATATTGGGTTTTACATAAAATAATTACTATTCATTCACCTTTTTCTTAACAAGAATGTTACCATGATTGGAGGAGATAGATATTTTACAATCGCACCAACCAGCAGGTAGCCCAATTATCAAATTTTTACATGCGAGGATTTGGTTCATTTGCATTTGATGATGGAGTTGAGATGTTTTTGTATCGACCGTCATAGTTCAGGATTATTGCAAGTCTTTGAACAAAAGCATAAGCCTTCATTTATTCTCGTTTCTTCAAAATTTCTTCCAAGCTCAGAGATTTTCATTTGTCAAGGAATACCAATACGAGTATATTGTAAATTAGTCATAGTTTTGAGAAATGAATTAAGTGGTCTCTTGTTTTAAAAACTAATTATTTAATTCTTATATTTTTAAATTTTCATGTAACTAAATCATTTTTTTAATAAATAAAAAAAAGTAAAAATTATGAAAGGATTGATGAGAAACAATCTTATTTTTAAAAATAAATTAATATTAAATTAAACATGATAAACACCAATCAAGATATTAAATAATTAGTTTTTAAAATAAAAAAGATTAATTTATTTATTTCTCGAAAATAAAGAAAATAAATAATTCATTTTTCAAAGATAAAAAAAAACTAATTTATAATTGAATTACATAAGTACTAAAGAGATATTTTTTCTCTTAAAAAAAAAAAAAACACCATTTATGCTGCCAACCTACAATAACCTAAAGATGCATAAGAAGGCTTGAAAACACTTCCTGCAGTTTAGATAGGAAAATATCACGGTTACTATCTGTGCCATCCTTGTACCACTGAAAAATCATTTAACGAGATCTCTGTATCAATTTAAATATTAATTAGGTGTTAATTGGGTTACTAAATTAATTTGTTTAATGTAAATTTTCTTTTAATAATTTGACTAACGCTATTAAATTAATCATATAATCAGATGATATGTGTGATTTGATTATTGATCTTGATATTTTTTTTATTATTACTTAATGCGTGTGCGCGCACGTACACACATATATATATAATTTCTGAAAAAAAAGTTTTTTTTTTATAATTTATATAAATACTTGAGTAGTAAAAAATTAGAAATAATTTTTTTTAACGAAATCAACATTCAAAAAACACGTGTAGTCTAATTATGTGATTAAGGAGAACATATGTCATCTAATTACGTAGTTACCTTAATATCATTAACCAAATCACTAACAAAAGACTTGCATTAAATAAATTAATTTAAAAACCCGATTAAGCAATTGCCTATGGTACAAGAATTAGGGGTGAGCAAACGGTTCGGTTAACCGAAAACCGAATAAAACCAAACCGAATTATGAAATTTGGTTCGGTTTTAAATATAAAATTATACAATATAAAATTGAACCGAAAAAACCAAAATTATTTCGGTTTGGTTCGGTTTTTAGAAAAAAAATTTCGGTTCGACCGAAAACCGAAATAAATAGTAAAAAATTTCCTAATTTCTAGATCCCTAACTTTTCAATCTTCATTCTTGTTGAAACCGAAACACGCAGATGAGAAGTAAATTTTGAGGACCGTTGGGGTAAGAAAAGAAAGTGACATAGTATAATTAATTGGGATACAACGTGTTTGAATGAGCAAATTTATTACACTTGGACTCGTTTTCATTAAAGCTTAATTAAAATCTTCAAGGGCTTTATGATTGTTTATAAAAAGGATTAATTGATAACAAGATGTTACTTCGTTGGCTAGTGGACTAAGTTCTAGTACAAAATATCTCTCTATAATGATTTTTTTTTATAATAAAATATTTTGGTTAAAACCGAAATATTTCAAAACCAAACCGAAATAATTCGATTACAAACCGAATTTACCGAATTTATTTCGATTCGGTTTTGGTTTTTATTTTTTTAATTCGGTTAACCAAAAACTAAACCGAATCGTACAAAACCGAACCGTTTAACCAAATGCTCACCCCTAACAAGAATGATTAAACAATTTTACTAAACACTAAAACATTTGAGAACAGTGAACTTCCACTAGTTTTTTTTTCTTTTTTAAGCCAAGGCCCTCTTTTGTTTTTTTTTTTCTTTCTCATTCGTTTTACTCGTTTATTTGAACAAGTAAAACAGCCTAACCTTTCTTCTTCTTTTTTTATATAGCTAAGACCCTCTTTTTTTTTTTTTTTTTCTTTCGCTTTTATAGCCAAGGCCCTCTTTTGGCTTTTAGTAAAGTGTTTTTTTTATTTTGTATAAAGGTATTTTCATGATTTTATGATAGTTTTTTCATTTATTTTTAAATTTTATATTTCATTTTTTTTGTCCTTTATGTTTTAAAAATATATTTTTAAATCCTCATATTTTTAAAAATATTTTTAAATCTCATGTTTTTAATTTAGTCTATTTTACCTCACTTTCTTTCATAATACACTTTTTATTTCTCATATTTTTTTAAAAATATATATTTGGCCTCTTATGTTTTTAAATTTTAAAACAAACACATATATCAAATTATATTTTTTTATTGATTAAAATTAATCTCTTAAATTTGTTGTTTATTATAAAAATTCTCATCAAATTAAATTTTTTATGAACTTTTATTTCTTGATAAATATGATTCATTTTTTTAGTTTTATTGAAAATTAATTATGTATCTACATACATAACGCTATTAGTCCCTTCGGTTCAAATTTTTTTTTCCTTTTTCCTATTTCAATGTTTTTATTTTTTTTAAGAAATCGAGAAAGACTAAAAAATATAGGAAAAAAAAGATTTTTTTAAAATAAAAAATGATATTACTTATGGTTAATACTAATAGAAAAAATAATTCATTCATTTTTCAAAACAAGGTGAACTAATTTATTATTTAATTTACAGTTTAAGAATCTCTTTCATCATAAATTAAGAAGTAAGATTTAGGAGAACCAATTTTGTAGCAGTTTTTATTTCAATTTTTTTACTTTAATATATTCTCGTACAACCTAGATGGTTTTTTTTTAAAAAAAAATTATTTATACTATATACTTTGAATCTATATAGTATGATATATATATATATATATAATTAGTTTTGTTAGAATTTAATTATGTATCCGCATACATAACACTAATTATTTATAATTTATTCTTTTTTATATTCTAAAATTAATATTTTTAAATAAAATAATTGATAGATATATATCATTAGGTTTGTTATAAATTAATTATGTATTTACACACATAACCCCGATTATTTTTTATTTATTCTTTTTTATGTTTTAAATCAATTTACATTCATTATGAAAAATAAGATTTTTATCCATACTACATCATATAAATCATTGACTTTACATACACGATCGTCTAACTGCAAGCATAGCACGAGTATCCAACTCGTTGCTTCTAGTACAAGGATGATACATATAGCATCTTCCGAGCGACATTTTTCTCTACATTCTACCTAGTCTTCGAGTTCATAATATCGAGGGATAAATTTGTGTAAGCAAGCATGACAATTCAATGAGGGAAAAGGATTATAAAAAAAAAAAAATTGAGGTATTTATTATTTGGATACTATTTATTTACTCGTTGCTATAGACTCAAATTGACTATTTATTATGATTCAATTGAACTATTGGGAAAAGTTTCACCCATTTGGACCATCCATCACTAGTGTGCCCTCTTTGTGATCGTTGGATGTGTAATGCTACCTTTTCATTATTATTTTCTCTCTCTGTAGGATGAATGGTTGCTTGATTTTTGCCTCTTAGCTTTTTGTTAATTTCTCTTTTGTCACTCAATAGATTTAGAAAATTTCATTCTTGTCCTTAACTAATTCTCTTTTCAATTTTATTCTTTGGCCTTTTCTCGTTATTTCCTTTTCTTTTCGGACGAGCATTTAATGCTCATATCTTTCATTGTTTCTTTCTCCATATTTTATTTAGAGGAGTTAGGAGCCACTTAGTATTAAAGAGTAAATTATAAATTAGTCCATCCGGTTCAAAAAAATTTTTTTTTGTCTTTTTTTGCTATTTTTCAATTTATTTTGATTTTTTGTTTTAAAAAATAGAAAATGAATAAAAAAATAAGTAAAAATATGAAGGAAATAAGACATTTTATAATAAAATTAAATAAATTAATCATGGTCAACATTACTTAAAAAAATTAAATAATTTATTTTTGAAACAAAAAGAACTAATTAATTCATTTCTCAAAATGAGTCGGACTAATTTTGTGACGTCCATGGTCCAATCGGGATCAAGAGTGCTACTGAATTATCTTACACCTAGGTTGCAAGACCGTAATAACCTAAAAAAAAAGGAGGGGGAAATTGGGTCGGTATAAAAGGGAGCGATGAATCGTCCCTTTTTTCTAGAAATTTCTTCTTCTTTCTCTCCCTTTCTCATATCATTTTCACTCCCAAAACTTCTTCGATCTTTCTCTTTAATTCCTAAGCTAATCCATGGTTCAATTAGCTTAGGAAGACCATAAATAAGAGGATTTAAGTAGAGTGTAACTAGCTTGGAGCTTGAGAAGCTTGGAGAACTAGGAAGAATTTAGGATTTGAAGAGCATAGTGTAAAGGTAAGATTTATGGTCAATTGATCTTTGAATTGTGATGCTTGTAAGTAGCTAATGAGATATTGAATTGGAATTGTTTTGGATTGTAAATTGCTTGAGGAATTGCTTAGATTAAGGTTAGGGTTTTAAAACCCATTTGGGAAAAGTGATTGTAGATTATTATGATGACTTGAATGATGTTTAATTATCTTGAATAAGTGAAATAAGAAGTTAATTTGAAGTGAAATTAAATGAATTTGAAAAATTGAGAGGTTGAAGATGATGAATAGTGATAAATTCAAAAATTAGAGAAAATGAGGAATTAGGCTATGTAAATGCAATTAAAAGTTAATGGAATGAGTATTAGATGAGTTAAGATGAAATTGATTATTTAATTGAAGGTTGAGTGGTTAAGGGTT